AAACCACGAACTTCTTCAATGTGATTCAATTTGTTCAATTTTCATGGATAAAACCGTGCAACTATTTATTTTTAACGATAAGATTATCATTATTCAACCAGACGAATGAAAACATATTGCTAGCCATCCTGCTCGCCTCAAATCTTGAACTAAATCACCGGATCAAACTATCTAAACCAACATTAAAAACGTTCACTTTGAATTCTTTTGCTTGGCTGTCGTGGAAATGGGCTGTATTTGATGCCTCATTGTGAAAGCGCTTTAGTTTACGCTTTTTACAATAACGAGTTCAGTTTTGATTCTTTCCGGTCCTGCTATAGCTACAGCCTCTTGGAAAATTTGCAACCAAGAGCCCCTAATCTGTTTAAGATTTTTCAGCTACTGTCCAATCAAACGTAGCTCGAAATCAAAGGTAATGTTTTCAAATTGTAGAAGACGACAAACATCGTTAACAGTAGTAAGGGTTTTGTATCAAGTCGTAACTAACAATTCAAGTTCAAAAGAAGATAATTATTTTTTAAGTTTTTCGTTTGGCTGAGCTGATCACTGGTCATATCCTGGTTTTCCTTGGCATGTTTAAGAGCTGCCAACATATCTCTCAGCCTCTTGGCAAATGGTTTGATCAAGTCGGTACAAAAGCTCCATTTTATCATAGAAAGTCTATTTAATGAAACTTCTGTCGCTTCAGTGAGAACATTCCATCAGCCAAGACTTGTACTAAAAAATACGTACCAAGATACTTTGATATCACATAAGTGATAAACTTAGCTATTTGACTTCTTTCTTTATCTCAAAAGCTTTAACACACAAGAGTCGTTCTTTGATTTGCCAGCGATAATAAATCTTCTTGACTCTACTCACAGGTTATTGTTTGTTCCTCCTTAATAGTGGCTATGGAACTCTTTCTGTTATCTCCTGATGAGGGAGCAGCTATAAAACTCAGTTTATAGTACTGAGGCAGGCTGGTGATAAGGTTTTCCGAACTCTGTGGTAGCTAGCTATGGCTTACGACATACGTAATGGTTCCATCTAATTCAACTACAACTAAATCTTTTTTTTTTTTTTGTAAAAAATAGTTTATAATTAATTGTAATAATAGAATTTAAAACTTAAATTATTTTTTTCATGTGCATTTTCATTCCGAATACTGAAGTTTTAACCTCAAATACAAAAACTAAGAAGATTTCAGAATGTCAGTCATTAAAATACTTTTTATTTATTATAAAAAAAACCAAATGGTTGCCAGGCGCCCCTTCAAGCTTGGCGCCCGGATCAATTTGCCACCTTTGCCCCTCACTAACACTCATAAGGACTGCTTTGTTTATAAAGAACATTTATGTTTGTATAAATATGTATAGTATTTAAATATATGTATATATATATATATATATATATATATATATATATATATAAATATATAAATATATATATATATATATATATATATATATATATATATATATATATATATATATATATATATATATATATATATATATATATATATATATATATATATATATATATATATATATATATATATATATATATATATATATATATATAATATGAATGAACAAAAAAATAAACGTACACTTAAAGATTGTGGTTTACAAGTTAAAAAAAATGACCGGGATAGGCCTACAGTTTTTTGATTGATATCTACAAATTCCTCTCAGACCCGTCAAGCTTTTGAAATAGTAATTTCATTTATCTAAACATAACCTTTTTTTCATGTATCTTTCTCATAATACTATTATTATATAAATCAAGATATTTTTAAATATTTTACTAAATTTTCTATAGGATAGCTTTGCAAATGTGTCTTATGAAATTTTGTTGAACTCAAAAGAACCACTTCCTCCTTCAAGTAGCACGTTGGTAATGTCGGCAACAAGAGTTGAAAATGAAAACAATATTTTGGTAAAATTTGCTTCGCAAAGGTTTTTTAAATATCTTTGTGAACTTGTGAAAATAATACTTAATAAAATCTTTATTTTAAAATATTAGAATAAAGGTAAAATGGGTGAGGTGGTTATTACAAATGATCTTGCTTTGTGGGGTAAAAATATGTCCAGAGTAGAACGCGATGTTTTTCAGTTGTTTTTCAGGGACCTCCAGAAAATCCTTCATCTTTTCCGAGAGACTCGAACAAGGTTAAAGTTCCTTAATCAGTTTTCCACGAAGTAACTTGTAATGGGTAGAAAATAAACAGAGATTGGCTTGTTTGGAGTGCAAATTCAAAAATATTTCTTTGCTTTCCGTGCTCACTTTTCGGAAGCAAACAAGCATGCGGGGCTGGTAATAATTCACATCCTCTATGTTGGAATGGTGGCATTAATGGAAACTGGAGAAAGCTAGCTGAAAAAGTAAAAAGTCTCCAAAACAATTCAAAACAGCGCTAGAAAGCTTCGGAAATCAGTGTGGGAATGATTCAATTTTAGAAAAATCGATAAGAAATTAGTCAGCCAGGTGGCGCGAAATTTTAAAGTGCATCTTAGATTTATTTCTTTTCTTATCACGAAACCTTAGCTTCAGAGGTATATTTGTGAACGAAAGTCATGATTATAACAGAAAGTCATGGTTTATATGTGTAATCGTTGTTTTAGGCTTATCAAAAATAATCGGTGATGACGATAACGGCAATTTTCTTTTAACTCTAGAGCTACTCGCAAAGCACAACAAGACCCTTCAGTTATATCTAGAAATTATTTGGGTTGGAGTTCTCAAAATAAATTTATAAAAGAGTGCGGAAGAATCGTTCACAATGCCATCATTGAAGAGGCGCATATCGCAATTTACTATTCCAAGCTTGTTGACGGAACGCCTAACGTTTCTCATAATGAGCAAATTGCATTTGTTCTCCGCTTTGTCTATTACGGTATTGATAAAAGATGGGTAGTTAAGGAGCGCTTTCTTAGGGTCGAAAATCTCAATAAAAAGAAAGGTGTGGATATGTCCAAGCTAATTATGGATGTCTTGGATCAAAATGACAATCTGAAAAACTGTCAAGGTCAAGGAAAAGACAAGGGTGCCAACATGTCTGGTTTGTTCAAAGGAGTTCGAGCGATCATTTTTTAGAGAAGTCCTGCAGCGCTCATAACTTTAATCTAGCTGGTATTCATTCCCTTGAATCTTCCGTAGAAATGAAGAACTATTTTGGTCGGATTCAGTTACTCTACAATCTTTTTAGTGGAAGCCCTATACGATTGAAAATCTTGACCGAGACGACTGGTTTTTTTCTTTATCAAAGCTCACAAACCTGATGGAGTGCACGCATTGAAGCTGTGAAGCCGTTGGTTAAGCGACGCATAGAAATTCTTTTTTCTTTACAGCAACCTCGTGATCTTGATTTAACTGCTGATCTATTGAATGACATAAAATCGTTGGAGAAATGGATTCAGTCATTTAAGTTTATTATCATGACAACCTTCTGGTTCAAAAAGAGGAAAACGAAGAAGCAGGGAACGAAGTTCATTTCTACGAAAACGACGAAAAGCAGTTTGAGTATTCAACACCGCTCTCGATACTTTAATTCAACAAATAAAAGACAGATTTCAAGCTGCTGAAAAGGTGACAAACATTTTCTCTTTCCTATGGCTGTCAAAATCTAATGGTAGATCGAGTGAAGAAAAAGAAATTGAACCACCTAGCCTGGAGGAGAAATATAAAACTTTGGCGCAAACTTATTTTAGAGGTCAGTCATCTGGATACTCTGAAACGTGCTAATCATTTCGGTCCAAAAGAATACCTCACTTCAATGATGCTATAAAATGGAATCTATCAAAAAGGCCTAGAATCTATTTTCGAATCAATATGCATTTTATTACGTAATTTTAACACGATTTATGTTTCCATCACCGAAGAAGAGCGGTCTTTCAGTAAGCTTGGCCTAGTCAAGACAACACTAAGATCTACAATGAGTCAAGACCGGTTTGCCAATCTCTTGAACACAATCTATTGTTATATCTATTGAACACAATCTTGCAAAAATTCTGTGACACAACGAGGTCATTGAAAATTTTGCTTTAAATAAAGCCCGGAGAGTCGAATTCTCATGAAGCATTTAAAATACCTATTACATTTAAAACTTAAAGTTACTCACAGTATAATAAAGTTCAGTAACTTGTTAACTTGTGCTTCTTTTTTTACATTTATTTCAAAAATAAATAAAATAGATTCTAGACCTTTTTGATAGATTCCATTTTATAGCTTCATTGAAGTGAGATATTCTTTTGGACCAAAAAGCTTGACACGCTTCAGAGTATCCAGATTACGGACCTCTAAAATAGCCTCCCAGGGCCATCCCGAAGAGGGGGTGACGCGTCTGCTTTTTGCCAACTAAAGTCAAAAAAAAAATTTTTTACTCACTAACTTATATAAAAAAAAAAAATAATAATAGGGTCCTCATTTGCCGACTGCAACTATAAATACTATTTTGCCGACTTAAAAAATTCGTAGGGGAGCTAGACACCCATATGCCCACACCTTTCGGGACAGCCCTGAAGCTTCCTCGACTGCAGTTACCCCTTCGGCCTTTGAAAGTGAATTCAGTTTTTTAAAAAAAAGACAGCATTTGGACAGTACCTAAACCTTTTTGGATTAAGTCATTATGACAGGGCGCTAGGTAAATTTTGGCCCCAGGCGTCATAAAGGGTAGCAGCGGGCCTGACCACACACACACACACACACACACACACACACACACACACACACACACACACACACACACACACACACACACACTCACATAAACTGTGATCATCTGAATTATCTCGGGTTAATATGTATTTATTTGATAAACACTTTACATCAAAAATTAAATACTCAAATATTAAAGCTAAAGCTCTTTTAGTACTAAATATTGAATAGGAATTGCAACTTTTATTACATTTATATGAATTTGTGGTTGAAAAAAAATGCCGGTAATTTTTATGAAATTTTTAAATTCTCTCCTAGAGGTAGTTTTTATGAAATTTTTAAATTCTCTCCTAGGATCACCATTGAGAAAAAAAAAAAATTTGATAGTTACGATAATCGCTTATATCTAGCTTCAACCTTTTAAGAAATTTAAATTAAATGTTTTCGGAAGCCAGTGAACACAAAATGAACGATAACACCGCAGAGCAGAAAATTGAACATGATAAAATATTTGCTAATAAAGCTAATGAACGAATTAGCAAAGGAAGTACTAGTAGTAATGGATCAGTATCATCATTTGCAAGTTCAAGCTTAGAAAACCAAGCCAAAGAAAAGTATGTTTTTAATAATAAATAACTTCACTTAACGCTAATTGTTGTTTTTAATTTATATAAAACTATGAATAGTTTTTATATACTTTGTTTATTTTTTTAATATTCCTTTAATTTAAACTTGTTTATTTTTGAATATTTCTCTAATATTTTAATTATAAAAATAAATTTTTTATTGTCAATGTTTTTTATACTGTTAACTTAAAACAATTATTTGAAGTTTCATTTAACAAGTCTAGTTGTATTTTTACGGATTTATATTTCTTTATTTGTAAAAAAACATACAAACTTGTATGGAGAGAAGCTAAACGAAAAGCAAATTAAAGTTTAAATTTATATAATTTTAAGGAAGTTTTATATAGGATAACTAATTATAATAAATATAATTTCTTTTTATTTAGTTTAAATAATCTGGAAGTCAGGTAAATATAATCTAAAAAACTATTTTCAAAGTAATTTATTTCCTTAAATAAAATCGATTTTCTTTTGTGTTATGACTATCTCTTTTTGCTAGTTATTGCTAAGAATTATAAGTTACACGTGAAGTCATCCAATTTATGAGAATGTATGCTTTTAATATAAAATTTAAAATTTGTTTACTTGTGTTTAATCAAAGTTATTTACTTCTCTAATTAACTTTTCAAATAATAGTTTTGAAAAAAAGTGGTGAAACATTTTCACCATTTTTTTCATATTGACTTTAATGCAGAATTTTATGATGATGAAAAAGAATAAAAACAGGATCGAAAATTGAAGAAAAGGGCAATAATTGAAAAACTGTTCACAAACAAAATCTAATCATTCCTTGGGTTGCTTTCACTAAAAAGTTGGAATTATTTTTTTAAATGTTAATTTTTTCAACAACTCTAATTTATTATCAAGTTATTGATAAAATAATGTGTAAATTATATTTCTGTAAAATTAAGCATTACAATTTTATTCATCTCATAAAATTTTAATTCATAAATAACTTTAATTTATTTCAATTGTTTATAGTATAATTAGGAAGTTAAATATTTTTAAAAATTTATACATCTAATAGTTTCATGGAAAGAAAAATTATTTATTAACAATTAATTTGAAAAGTACTTTATTTGTATATATATATAGGTATGTTACAAAAAAAATCAAAAAAGCGAGATATTAAATTCAAAGACATCATTAGAAGCACCTTTTAGTAACTAAAAAAAAAAATACCTCACTTTAAGTTTTTCGATGTCATTTAAGGAAGTTATGAGTTTTTTAAACATAAAATTTTTATAGGGATTTTTGCAAAAAGTTGTGACCGTTAATTTGCAATTAACAACTTAAATTAATCATAACTGCAATAAAAATCATCCAATTTGATTAAATTTGGTATCAATTGAAAGCTAAGAAAAGCTACAAATATTTCTTGAGTAACAGTGATTGAAAAAGATATTCATGTTGGGTGGCGGTGATGGGGGCACATAGTGGGTACAGAGAGGGTGTTTAAGTATTCACACAACAAATTTAATTTTTATAAATTAGTTATCAATAAGGTTATCAAATCTAAAGAAAGCATCAACTGCCTTTTGCAAAATATCAATTGCCTCTGGGCAAAGATAAATGGGCGTACATGAGGGTTAATATAGTGTGGGGAGGAAAGGCAAGTTGGGGGGGGGATTTTCAAAATGATGTTTTTATATAAAACAAAGTAACAAATACAAAAAATTATAAACCGGTATCTAATAAAAGAAAAAAATAAATTTATCTAAAAATGCCTTTCTTGATCAAAAGATCAAAAAGCATTTCTTGATGCTTTTTGATCTTTTGTATATATTACAAAAATGGTTATAAAATAATCTCGAAGAAGTTTAAAAATATTTAAAAAAAACAAATTAAAAACCAAAGTATTTAAACATATGCAAATAGCATATAATATGCCCAAATATAAATATAAAATATAAGCCACTATGAAAACAGCAATTAAAAAAAAAATCATCAATTCACTTTCAAGATAACATAAGGTCTCCGTATATTATATCGGCAGCAAGTTCGAATTTTGAAATGTCATAATCCACAGCATCATTATCATACGTTTCATTATCTTTCCAGTATGCTACAACATACACTTGCTTACCATTCTTTAACTTCATTTTTTCAAGTTTACCATAATAAACTTCTTCTCCCTGCATTTGAGAATTAAACCATATATGGCAAATGCTTCTACCAACAACTGTATCTGATAGCATATCTGAGAGGTCTGATAATTGATTAGACTCTAGTTCTGGAAATGCTATTAAAATATCTGAAAATTTAAGGTTTTGAATTTGAAGAGCCAATATTTTTCGGTTTTTATCCTCTTTTTTTTGCTTCTTGAACTTATTTCTACAAATCAGTTCAAGCTTTATTTCATCAATATTTTTTTTATTCATCCCTCTCTTTGTTCTGGCTTTGTTTACTGCCCAGTAAACAATTTTCTCTTTATCATCTTCATCTTTTTTTTCAATATAATTAACTACATTATTTTTTATTGCTCTTAACTTTGATGACAAAAAACACAACGTAGAATTGGGAGCACGATGTTTAGCAGCACTGAACATGCCCATGATTTCCTCTGCATCAATATTATGAAGCCTAGCTGTTTGTGTCTCTTTTATAAGTTGTAATGATAGATTTAAATTAAAGTATCTTTTATACTGTCTTTCTAAAACATCAATAATAGCTGATAAACAAAGTATAATCATTTGTTCAACTTCTTTGCTTTCGTGCACACTGAAACTATTGTTTTAAAAACCTTATCGTTTTTAATACTATTTCCAAACAAATCTTTTGCATTAAATAACAACATAGGGTTGTTTTTCACATGATAAACATTTTTTAACAATTTTTTCACTACTTTTATTCCTTCAATATGACTTAAACTTCCTGTACCTGACTGATAAAATAATGCCATCCATGGTCCTGTTAAAGTCTTACCCAATAACCCTAAGACACACATTTCTTTTTTGGCTGTTTCGTTAATAAAGTCTATTTTCAAACTACTTTTAAGCCTTCCACATGAAACTACATCGCTGCTTAAAAATTTAATTAAGGAATTATAGTGCTGTATAAATATACCACATATATGAAATAAAATATGCAATCTGTTTCCTCGGTAACGCGGAATGAGTCCTTTGGGTAATTTCATCTCATCTAAAAAGATTGTAAAACCTTTAGGATCTCCTTTGCCATTTTTGTATCGCATTTTATTCATTTGTAAAACTATATTTCCAGCCATGCAATCTTTGCCAAACAGCACTCCTTTATTTTTTTCAATTGATTTTAATGCAGATCTACATGCAGTGGCAATCGTCTCTAGAGGATGCACATGACAATTTAATTCATTTAAAACTTTACCCCATGAAGAATTTATTAGCTGAATAGCTGCATGATTAGCGGCAACACGGTCAGTCATAGAGTTCGAAATATTTTTAATTATATTTGTCCGACTCTCTTGATAGTCACAATTATGGAAATCAGAATACAAAAATGCAAGTTCATCAATTGAAGATACAATATGAGTTTGATAATCATGTGCAGTCCCACCTGACAACTGATCTATTGCAATAACATGACACTCTGTTTTGGTTGTAAAATGAACAGAGTTTATATGAATTCCTTCTTGGGTTGTTGCGTCAAACCCAAGAGTAAGATTGGGTGTAGAAATGGCAACTTCAGCAGCATGAAGGTTGCTGATTATACCTAACTCACAAACAATTTCTTCAACTGTGCTGCGTTGTGGAAAACTTTCTGCATTTACTAAACCAAAATGATTAAAAAATTTTTGCAATAAAATTGGAATGTTTTTTGTTGGTACCTGGTTAACAATGGCATCATATATCATCAATCGTAGTTGCCACGTATACGATTTTCTATCTTTTTTGAAAGGCAAATGATCAATGACAGAATCTTCAACTTATCTAATTTTTCTAGCAAGTTTGCTACTTCAACTTCTAGAGTTTTTATCTGGTTATCTTTACTCAAAATGGTACTACTCAAATCATTTTGTTGTTCTTTTTTCTTAAGCTTGATTATTTTTATTTTCTTTTTAAATTCATTTTCACATAATATTAAATTTTTAGAAGAAATTTTAGCAAGTTTTTGCTTTAAATATTGAATGGTTAAATTTTTTCTTTTAATAGTTTGATTTAGTCTTTTTATAACATAAGGATCTGCTCTAATTCTGAGTTTTAGAACAGCTAGTTTTTCTTTATGCTTCAATTTCAATTTTGCATTAGTTTCATACATAAAGCTTAATCTCTTTTTCAACATTTCACTACCCAGAGTATCTTTACAAGGCATTTCTTTAATTGTTTCTTGAAAAATATCAGAAGTAAAAGATTTTCCTATTTCTCTTTCAACAGGAGCTAAATGTAAAGTAACCGATTCACATAAATTACTTTTTGTCATAGTTGATAGTTGATTACATTTAAAGATTTTTTTGCATAACTCTTCAAATTTTTTTCTATTAGATGACTGGAGATGGGCAAACAGTCTTTTGGATTTCATAACTAAACTATATATCTGGTTATAAGTGGGATAAAAACCAAACTTTTCATAAATTATTCTGGCAGTCTTTAAATTAGACTTGGATTGCTGTATATACAATAGCAAAACATGCCCATTTAAGCATTTATCTTCATGTTTATCAGTGGCTAATGTAAAATTGTCAATTAAATACTGTTTTGCAAGTCCAGTTATAACAAACGAAACATGAATTTTTTTCTTTGAACTCATATTAACAGCAACCCTAAAATGAGTATTATTTACAAACCACAAATTATATTTATTTTGATATTATTTTGATATCTGATTGGAATAGCAAATTATAAGACAATTTTATCGTCACGTGACATCGGAATAAGCATTAAATTTTTTCAAAAAAAAAAAAGATTCTACAACCAAAACTGTGTAAGGTATTAATATATGATGGTAACGATAAAATTTCTTTAAATTTTCCAAATAAAAAGAAAAATAGTTCGTCTTGTTGAGTTTTTAAA